ATTTCATCCTGAGAGACCACAAACTAAACAGCAGAAACACGTTGTATAGACACTTGTTTAGTGGTATGCAAATCATCTTGGCCGGAGGTAAAATTAACATTTTCAATTAAAATATTAGCACCAAACAAACACAGAAAAACACACTAATGATTAAATCATCTTGATGGAATCTCATAGTGGAAACCGAAGCTTTTTTCTTGTAATTCTTTATCTGAAAACACGCAGCACTGCTCACACTGTACATTAATGTTTTTATGGTCGTGAATCTTTATGTTTGCAAATGAGGCTTGCCATCGAATGTCTGAATTGGAAGAAAATGTATACAGTATTTTTTTTTTTTATATTCAAAGCTCAGAAATGTATTTTCATTTCTTGTGCAGACAAAATGTTTTTTGTCATTTTCATTTCCTTTCACATATTTATAAAATGCCCAATAATTAAGAATAAGGATAATAATGGTGGGTAAAAAGGTTGCTGTTAAAAAAATATTTTGTCATATATCTTTTGTTTTTTTTTACATATCTGCATTCCTTCTGCAGATATAGGCAATGTAAGGCCCAGAGACAGAGGGGCAGAGCTTTCTGCAGCTGCTTTTACCGTTTACATATATCGCCCTCTGGTGGCGATTCATGTAAACATCCACATAAAGCAACATTGAGGCAAAAAAATGAGCAATGTTCAAACAAAGCAACTTTATTTCCGTTTTGGTATAACAAACAAACCTTGACACAGACTCTTCATGTATGAAATACAAAAAAAAAGACAAAAAAAATCTCTCCTTAAATGTTGCATTCAAATGCAAATCCAGAAAACATGAGATGAGCTTAGGAGGGCTCCAGCTGATATTCAAAGCGCAGCTTTCCAGCTATGGATAAAGAGGCTCTTTTGCATCTGATGACTCTTTTTATTGCCCTGGTCCACAGAGGCCAAGCAGTACCTTCTGGTAGTCTCCCTTGGTATGTTCCTGGAGAAGGAACAGAAACAGCAAGTCAGACATGCTGCATGACAGAACAAGCTTTACTGTAAATCACTCATAGACCAGAGGCAGGTTAGAAAATTCACTTGCCATAATAGTCTGTTGCAGAGATTGCCCAAAGCAGGACTTGTATTCAGAGCAGATTTTTCTCAGGTCCACCTCACAGCGTGACACAATAATTCTGGTCACCATCTTCTCTTTGGCCCCTTTACTCTGAGGAAACGAGCACAAGTCAGCACCTAAGTTGCACACGCTCCAAACTTAACTGCAGCAGCTGATGCAACACTGTTGTAAGATAACTTTTGTCAACTTTGGATTCTCTGTGTTCCTGCAGCTAAATTACACTTTCACAAGCAGATGTATTTCTTACATCTGCTAGATTTAAAAAACAAAACAAAACAAAAAAACAGTCTAGCCCTCAAAATAGCCACATCTCAAGAAAAAGGAAAAGAACAGTAGTGCGAGTACCTTCATGGCTTCATTGAGTCTTTTGGCAAAGTACAGCTGTTTGTTTTCAAAGCACTGAACTGGAACAAATAAAAAGAACAAATATTAACAGGAGTACATCTTACATTCTGCAGATATGTTTCTTATCACTTTGAAAGGAATTCTTAAACCAAAACTGGGGAGTTGTCGTTCATTCATAATCTAAATGCACTGCTAAAGTGTACCTAGCACCAGGAAGGATGTTTGCAAGTCTCCTTTAACTTCCTTCACAATGCTCTCCTGCATGTCGTAGGGGCTGTAACTCTTGTACTTCTGAAATACTAAGACACAGAAGAAAAAAATCTTTGAGTGGTGTAATGGGTCCATTTCACAACTTGCAACAGAGGATCACAAATCCACATGTATTAATAGTGCTCTTAGTAAAAAGGATGGGGCACCTTTTTGGAGGTGGGGTACACTTCTCTCAGACATAATGGAGATCCAGGTCGCCACATCAGTCCCTTTAATTTTTATTCCAGCATCATAGAGAGCCTAGGCATGAGGAAATATCCTTAAACAGTGCCAGAATTTAGCTTGTGGCACAGAAAAGAGCCGTTCATGGACAACGAAAAAATTTCATTCGTGTCTAATTATTCTATATTAATTATTCTATTATTCTATACATGACGGGAATATAAGACCCAAACAAAAATCTGTTTAATTCAAAGGCAAACAACTTACTCTGGCATCTTCATCAATCTTTTCATAGTCTGTAATAGAGGACGGTTCAGCTCTCTTGGTCTGCAGCAAAATAAACAACATTCAGGTCATTTTCACAAGCAACTGCTGAAAAGTCATTTTTACAGGTTATATTTGGCACCAAATGCCTGCATGGATGTAATTATGAAAGTTTCTTTTAATTTGTCACCTATATGTATGTAAATCTTAAGGAACAATGCAGCTACGTCTCACCTGCACAAGAGCCAATAGTAACTTAGCGAAGTTTCCAGAAGTATCTCCAGCCACATCTTTGTCCAGTTCCTTTTTGAACACTATAAAAATTAGATTTTCACGTCGGGGATTTAGCCATCTCTTGAAACCAGAGTAGTCACATAACTTGATTTATGACTGATTAAGACATGATATGATATGTAATACAACAAGAACAATGCATAGTAAATGAAAAGCACGCAACCTCAACTGTAATCTAAACTTTACACAGGATTTCAAAGTGTACTTACATTCCTTGTAGACCTTCTTGATTTCTACCAGCTCATCATTACTACGTGAGCACAAAATCTCAATCAGTGTTTCTTCATCAGTTCCTAATCCCTGAAAAAAGGAGAATTTTAAACGATCACACCTGAAAGCCATCTGAAGACATAAGACTAATGGCTTTTTGTTTCCAGCAGAGGGCGGTGTTGCCCTTCCACAAAATCTCCCTGAGAGAGAAAAAACAAACAAACCACACTTTACCTTGATGGATGCCTTGATCTCTGAGGCATCAAACTGCGCCGTGCTCTTCATCAGTCCAAGGATTACAGTTTCCAGTGAGCCAGACAAAGCACCCTTCAGGGCTGAGATCATGTCCTATATAAATTATAACAGCATTACCTGATCATGCTTAATGTCTGGCATATTGCTGAAAAGACAAAGAATGGCGCTTTAAAGCCATGAAGGAGTTTAGGCCTGCTGTACCTTCTTTGCCCTCCTTTCATACGCAAAAGCAATCTCTCTCCTTTGGGCGTATGTCCGCTTTGTTAGGACATCAATGATGGTCTGCTCATCCACACCTGATTATACATGATTTGAACACATTAATTACACAAATGAATGAATTTTTTTTAACAATACTAAGAAATCTGATTAGGTTATGATGACAAAAGAAAGACACAATCAGTAAATCCCTACAACAACCTTTTAAAAGAAGAAGAGGGGATGGATATACACAAATATCGTGTCTGAGTAAAGGTTTAAAGGCAACATGGGCATAAGGTGTAATTTCCTCCTATTCTTATTTGCAGAAAAACATTTTTCCACTCTGAACACATTCTTCACCACAGCACGATGGTGGGCTGTTAGGAGTGCCAGTAGCTCTCAGTCAGCAGCCAGAACACAGCTCTGCCAGCACTGGGGCGTGGACATGGAGATGTTCCCAATGTGGTCCAAACATTTTAAGCCACGAGGCTGACTCACAAATACCAGTCACTCATCTGTTGCAAGAATTTGCAGAACCAAGCACCATTTCTTTTTCCTTTTTTTCCTTTTTTTGGAGAGAGAGATCTTGCCTTTGGTTTTGATGGCGGTCTCTATCCTGGCAGCATCTTTATCAGGGTCAAAGTCAGGAGCAGGTACCACAGTGGGGAACAAAGGATCCTGACCCTGAGAAGTCAAAGCAAGAAGTAAACTAACTGTTTTGTTGTTAACCTCTTAACCTCCATTAGGAAACTGGTGGCACACAAAAGGTCAGGTTGAGTGCACGAGTTCAGCTAATGTCAGTTTCCCAGAGAACGTATTTTAGTATGTGACTGAAACAAAGCTCACCCTTAAAGCTAAATGTGGCAGGCTACCGGTGGAGAAGTTAAACATTACATATACATGCAACAAATAAATGATAAAATAAGAGTTGCCATGATAAAGAAGAAAAAAAAGAAAGCAGAACTTTACCCCAATGTTGAGAGACAGCTGTCCCAGAAACTCTGATACCATAGCCATTTTCACTGTTGTGGGGAAAAAAAAATCTCATAATCAAATCTCGCTATAATCCTATCACTGACTTGCACAAGACCATGTTTATTTTGACTGGAGATGTAATCGTTTGAGAAGGTAAAGCAAGGTCTTTCTAACAAAGGCAGAGAAGTTAAATCAAGTTGTTGCTTTTTACAAAGCCGAGTGACTGCAGGGGAATTTATTCCTTTGACGAATGGTTATTTCTTTTTGACTGCTCTGCCACATTCAGAGGAGTTTCTAGTAAAAGATTTCAGACGCATTAGAAACACCGAAGTGACACGCCCTGGAAAATGTGCTGCTGCACTTCGATGTCGTAAGGCAACTGAGTTCTTTCACACGTGGACAAGGGGAAAAAACTGCTTTAAGAACCTGAAGAATTAAAACTTAACTGAAACTTAAAACAGAAGTGAGACTCTTTTATACAAACTGTGAAAATGCAAGTCATATGTCATGATTCGTGAATGCAAAATGCCTCCTTAAAACTCCTTGAAGCTTTATGCAGTGTAAACTGAACCGTACTTCCTTTTATTCTATTAACAAACAGTTGACAAAATTCCAGCACACTTACCTGAGCTGTAAAAGCTGAGATGATGCACAGATTTGTCCTGGTGATGTTTAAATGGATTGGGTGTGGAGGCTCAACTTTTCAGAGATATGAAAAGGCTTCCCACTTCACTTCCCCTGACGAATTCCTTCCCCCTTTCTGTGGACTCATGACTCCACCCTAATCTGCTACGAGTCAGCAGCTCAGAGTTTTAGAGCTAAGTTTTCCCACACACTATTCAAAGTGACTGAAGCCTTGTGCCGTTAGGAGAAATCCTAGGTGTGTCTGATCCCAACTTCCCACAGTCAAAACATCCGAACGTTATAAATCACTTTCAGTTTATTAACTCTTTTTCACACAAAAAGTAAACAAAATACATACAAACATACCTTTGAACAAAATTACAGGTTATATAGAATAAAAGTGCATCAGGATCCACATTTATAATTTAAGGACTTTGCTTTTATTTCTTTAGGCATGCATGTGCAGCTCCTCCTCCAGCTCTCCTAATGCAAATCATGAAGTTATATGACAATACATTAACAAAGGGATCTTAAAACGACTTTTGAATTAGCTTTTTCACATACGTGTTACGCTTGGCTGTACGTTTCTTCTGCTTGCACGTCTTCTTGTTGCTTCCATTGGTTTTCTGGTAGGATGGACAATAAGAGAATATGTTTATTTGTCATTTTCAGAAGGACTGAGTGCTCAAAGTTGCTTGGCTGAAAACTTGTTTTACCAAAAGCTGTTACGGTAAGTGAATAAAGAATGCCGTTCAGCTATTTGCTATGTTAAATTTCAGACAGACCTCCAATGAATGTCTCAGAATCTAAACCAGAAAAGCCAATAACTCTTCTCAGTATTTGTCCCTGCTGTTAGTTTTAGGCTTTGCCATTAACAAATATGAGGCAGCTTCTGGTTCAACTTGTTAGAAGAGTTATTTTTGCTTTTACAAATTCTCTGGAGTGGGGGTGGGGACTTCCCAGATATTAATATAAACATAGCAACCTTTCCTCTTGTTGCTCTTTATTAACCTGGGCCACATGTCTGTTGTTGTGGAGATTTTTTCCCTATAATGTTTTGAATTAACAGGGTAACTGTAGCGAAAACATGAATACAAACCTTCACAATGGGTGTTGGTGGAAAGGTGCAGGGGACCCTTCCATGTTGCTGGTGGAAGGGCAGGACTACAGCTGGATCAACAGGTATCCAAGGCACAAAGCCAAAGGCCGGGGGTTGTGGAACAGAGCTGTGGGCCTGATGCAGGTCGTATCCCCCCAGATTCCCTTTTCCATGTGCTGCTTTGAGGATGGTCACAAACGGTTCCCCCGATTTATGTGCAATCAGGTATCGTCCTTCCTCTAACCTACAAAAGCAAACAAAGTCCTTGAGACTGTGTCACTCACAGAAACATGTTGTAGCACTGCAATGATTTCTCCATTCTTGGAAGAAATGATGAAGAATGAAGCGCTGACAAAGAAGTTGACACATGTACCGAGTGTCATTGAGTAATTCTCTGATTGAGTAATTCTCCAGCGCAAACATGAAGGCAGACTTGCGTCACAGTTTTAGCCCGAGGCAGCCAGAGCGAACAGTGTGAACACTTCATCGGCTTAAACAAAGCTTTACAAATCAATAGCCAACTTTCTGATAACCTGAAGGTGATGAGCAAGTTTGGAAAAAAAAAAAAAAAAACTCCTTGGGGTATAGACTTTACATTCAATTCATCAACATTTAACCAAACACTATAGAGTTTATAAAACAGGTTGCCCTCAACAGGAGCCTCGTAATCTTGCTCATCTTCTGTTGTAGCCTGCAGGTCTTGTGAAAGAAGCTCTGAGGGGGTCAATAAAGGAGCAGGAAGTCAATGATGCACTGTTATGTTAACCAAGTCATACAGAAATTAAACCAACATATTGAAAATCAATCGACATCAACTTTTGTGTTCATTAGTGTCAGTACTCAAGGAGGGATCCCTCACTCATGTCTGTCCCGTCTGTAACATCTGAAAATAAAATATAATAAATAATAAAAACAAAGGTCGATCAAATGGACCAATACGGCAATGCCACGATGATCCATTTGGCAAAGCAAATCCATTGGGTATCCTTGTTGGTCTTCAGACAACAATTCTGATGGCTAAGGAACCAAATGGGGCAAGCAAAAAAATAAAAAAAAAAAAAAAAAAAAAAAAAAGTACTCAGGGAGGGAGGGGGGGTCTTATTGCTCTAAAGCATGGTGAAGGCTCAGTCATGGTTTAAGATTAACAAAAGATAGAAAAGAGCTGTCAGATATTATATCCATACCATCTGGAAAGAGTCTGATTGGCAACTGGCTTCCTTTTCCAGCATGAAAATGACCATAAGCACATCGTCATTGCAGTAAAAGCTTAACTGGAGAGGAAAAACACACCATGGAACTCTATCAGTCATGGTTTGGCCTCCCCAGAAGCCGGGCCTCAACATTACTGAAGATGTGGGATCATGTTAACAGAGAATAAAACAAAAGACAGCCGACATTCAAAGAAGAGCTTTGAATGTCCTTCAAGAGGCCTGGAGGACGATTCCTGGAGACTGCTTAAAGAAATGAAAAGAAAGTTTGCCCAAGAGTTCATCCAGGTTGTATTGAATTATAAAGGCGGTCACACCAAATATTGACTTTCAAGTGTGATAGAATTATATAAACTCTGTTTTTGCTTTATATAATGTATCTGCATGTATGTTTGTACATTTTAATAAATCTGTGCACACACTTACAATTATCAAATAAAATTTGGGTGGAGGATCTCAATGACAACAATATACAAACAAAAATAGTAATAATATAATTTGTGTCAGCAACAACTTACCCAGTAAGTTTTTTCAGTAGGTGGTGGAGTATATTTAATGACTTGGAAAGCCTGGAAAAGAGACATCAGCAAGTTTCAGTCTATCTGCTTTACTTGGCATCTAACAGATTCAGAGGTGATGAAAAGGCCTGGATTATCAACACTGACTGAAACTCAAGAAGACAAACTCGAAATCTTAAGTAACACAATCATTCTGAGATGATTAGCTTAATCCTTTTTATCGACACACATTTGTTGAAACAACACTCACTTGAACCCACAGGAGACGTTCTGCTTCCAGTCATCAGGCAGCTTTCGCAGCAGAGCTACTTTTGATGTGTGTGCATTGATGTGCGCTACAGAGTCATGGAGACAGGGTGAAAGACAAACTGAGAGAACAACAAGAGCTAGTGTGCACATCAAGAGCTTCACTTCATCATCCGTGCTATGTCTGGTGCTCACAAAGTAATTAGTCTGTGGTGATTTGCCAGCATTGTTAACCAGCTTGAGTGGGTGTTAAGAAATGCTCGTTGGCCCCCTCTCATCTTGATCCTTCCCTGCCTCCCACTCCAGCTGGAAAGGCCTGCATATTTCAGCAGTGTCTTCCTTCATTTGCAGAGTGTTTTAGAGCTGACAACAGCAGCCATAAATACACAATAGCAGAATGCCCCATGACAAACCACATGATAAACCACAAAGAGCCAAATAAATAAGGAAGTCTATTAGCACCATATAATTTCAATAGCTGGGGGATATTATTTATTTCATATAGCTCAATGTTCTTACCACTAGTGGCAAAACCAGACATTATTTTGCCACACAGGCCTGTTAGCCATTCTCTTGAATGGCTACATTTACAGCAGTGAAGCTGAACATATGAAACTTGTGCCAATGTGTGTACCTTTTGTGAACTATAAAGGTGTTTAATTAATCCAATAGGCAAAAGGAACACAGAACATGCATGTCAAGATTACATGAGTCAGTTCAGTGAACCTAGCACAGACAAAAGGTGCAGTCTTTCCCCGAATCTTGAGTCATAGATAAGCAGCACGGAGACACTGACAATGCAACTCAAGCCCAAAACAACACTTAGCTTAGCTTTGCACACTGCATTCACTGTAATAACACATGATCACATGTGGCTGTAGCTATGGCAACTAAGTAAACCTAACCATTACAGTCAGAGGAGGACGATGAGTCATCTGAAGACTATTTCTCTGGTTTGTGGAAGGATCTGCCCCACTGATTGTATTGTGGCCTGTTTTAAGCTGTCTAAATGATACATTGGCTATTTCCTTGGCAACGAGGTTAAAAAAAGGAAAGCCAAAGGGTCCCTCCTTTAGCTCAATTTAGAACCATGTGTGGAACATAACCATCATCATTTTAATAGTATCTCAAAGCAACAAGTTTGAAAGTAACAAGGATAAAAACGTTACCTATGTAAGATACTGTGCTGGAGTGAAGCAAAGTCTCTGTCCACAAGTTGCATACCTCGCTCCTGGTTAGGCACTCAACACCATAACACAACTGGTACTCCAGCTTAGGCAAGACATGCACTGGTGTATGCTATTGGGACAGATCAAATGTCAATATTAAAAACAAATCTCATTCTGAGGATTGTGCATATACAGAATGAATGTTTATACCTGGTTTTTCCTGCTGCCTACTTTTCTCGTGTGGGTCAGAGAGACAGAGCTGCGCACCATGAGTAACAAGTCTTGCAGACTGTAGAGTTTATAAAACAGGCTGCCCTCAACAGGAACCTCGTAATCTTGCTCATCTTCTGTTGTAGCCTGCAGGTCTTGTGAAAGAAGCTCTGAGGGGGTCAATAAAGGAGCAGAGAGTCAATGAAGCATTGCATGGTAATCACGTCACACAGAAATTAAACCACCATATTGAAAATCAATCAACACTAACTTTTATGTTCTTTAGTGTCAGCACTGAGGGATGAAGAGTTGGGGGGAACCACACAGGTTTCGCCATCCTTGCTCTGGTTTCTCTCCAAAAATGAAGACACACACGGTTTAACCAGCAATGTTGGATGAGAGTGAACTGATGGCCCTGCACATCGGGTGGGCGACTTAGCAGAGCATTTGGCCATCTCGTTGGCAGACTTGAACATGGCTGTCTGCATGCGCAGGATCTCACCTAGCTGGTCCCCAGAATCCTTTGCTCTTTTGGTTTGCCGTCTGGCCCTTGTAACTCTTTGAGGGGAAGACATCTCTGAACTTTCAGGGGTGGACTCAGAAGCAGGAACAACTGGAGGGTCTGCAGAGCACGTTACAGTTTGAGGTTTACTTTGTTTTGGGACAGTGTTCACTGGAGACATCGAGTCATCAATGACCAGTTTCTCATCATCCGAGTCTCCAGTAAAAGCTTGGTCTTCATCACTTTGCAGGGCAGGGTCTTGTCTTGCTTGTTCAGTCCCTGGTTGAATGTGCTCACTCAAAAACTGCTGAGCTGGCTCTGACACAGAGTCGTTAGTTTTTATTGAGGAGCTGCTCATCTCTTCACTGAACGTTTTAATCTTTTTTGAAAGTGGGGACCCTCTATCTTTTTTACTTTTAATATAACCACCCTGTTCATCTGGGATCTTCTTACACTTTGACGTCTCTCCAAATGTCTCCAGGTCGGTGAGATCCACCTCAAAATCCAGACCACTGTTTTCCAGAGAAACTTCGCTCCTCTGGGAAATTTCCTATGTCAGAAACAGAAGAAGAAGAATTGCTCTAATGAAATAAGACCAGATAACACCACCACTACCACAGTTAATTTACACATAAACATACCTGTGAGGGGTTCTGCTTATTTACAGGAAGCTCTGTCATCAAATGGAACACATTTTTACTTCCATTCTTCTTGATGGACCGCTTCAAACTCTCTTCATGATAGATATGACTCCTTTCTCTTACTGTCATTTCAGTCTTCAGGAGTGGCGAGTCTATATACACAGTCTTCTTCTGATTACCGACTGTGAATAAGAATAAAAAGGGCCATGTGAAACAGTACCACCGTCAGGCCATATATAACATCAATACACACAATAGCTACCTAATGCCTAGTTTATGGTCACCACATTGGCTGTGCTGTGCACCAACTGTGATGTCCTCACAGTCTTGTTGCAGGAAGCAAAGACATTTTTGCCAGTTTTTGCCAGGAAGTGTCATCTTTTCAAGCTGTTACAGCAATGTTGTTACAGATTCTTCAAATTTGTGAGCTCCTGTACTGACATTTCAGTGAAATGGAAGTAATGACTGGCACGCGCACAAGGCTACAAAACTACAAAAGGTGCACAGCAAGCTAAAATGACGCTAAAGTAATGCGTGCCAGCAGTTGTGACGTCACTTTTGCAGCACACCACACTTCATGAAGGTGACAACAGTGAGCATCAATGAGGTATTAGATACTCTATGTGTCTCATAAACATATAATTTATTTCTCACTTTTAAAAAATGTGAACATGTCTTCTGCTCTTTTCTTTTTTGGTAATCCTATGAAGCTCAATTCTGCAGCATGTTTTTGTTAGGTCATAATATGCCCTATATTCTTCAAAACAGAATTTAATTTAAAACCTGTTAAGTTTAAAAAGGGTAATCTATATTTTTTTCTCGCTTCACCATGATAGCACATTTTTAATTGCTGGAAGTAAAACTTAAACTGGCTCTAATTAACTTCCAGTACGACAGCATGTGATGTGTGCTGTACCTTTTCCTTGGTTTAATTTGACCCAAACAGGCAGTTCCCATTGCTCCACAAATTCAGGGCCATGGTTGTCCAGCAGCCTGACCAAGGCATCTCGAGTCAAACAAACATGAGGCTCATAACAAGCACAGAGCTTCTCAGCATTCCCATCACCACTGACAGTCTGGAGAGGGAGGGGAAAAAACAAAACACACACACACACACACAAAAATAAATAAATCACACTACCAGAACATGAGAAAATCTTCTGTATCAGTCAAACAAACACAGGTGGATACACAACTTTCTACAGTTAAACGGGGTTTGACATTAACATGTGTGACCTGGCATCTTTCAGAAAAATGCAATAAGGTCTAATTTTGCTGAGCAAGACATGAACACCCTCTGGTGTCTTTGGTGAAAACTGCAAGAGGCGAAAGAGAATTTCAATAGACCTGAGGTCATGAATCTCATTCTAGCAGTAAAACGTGTCTGTGGCTTACTTTGATGGAGCAATTACAAAAAGTGAGACAATTGCTTACAGCATGCATGTCCTTAGCCTTTTTAGCTGGAGGATTCTCTGATGAAACACTCTGATAATCCCATGCAAGTTGTGCATCAGCAGGCACTATCTTGTGGTCTGTAATATTCACACTGCCCTGGAGAAATAAAGGGAAGAAATATGGTAATAGAGAAACTTAATCAACAGCAAAAAAACTGATTCTGCAATTCAACACTTGAAGCTGAGAAGGTATCAAAGTGATGATAAAAAATTTTTAAACAAGGAAAAAAAAAGACATTTTAATTTCTGAACAACTAAATTATATACGGCTGTAGTCTGATACTGCTGAGACTGAAAAGCGGCTGCAGATGTACATTACCATATTCAGCAGCTGTTTTTCAAAGGTCAGCGCCAGCCCTGGATCGAATGTCCCTCCTGTTAAACTGGTCAGCTCGTGGATCTGGTAGAACTGGGGAAGCGTCCTAATGCATTCCAAACAGCTCCTTAAAAATTCCTTAAAAACAACAAAGAAAAAACAATTAGGGTTTGTGTTTCATTGCTTATGAACTAAACCACATAAAGCTAACGAGAGGTGCAACTGATGGAGTATCAGTACCTCTGAATATTGCATAGCTCCTTGTGATATGAAATTGTAGTCATCAGCACACATTCTAGCCACATCTTGGAGGTAGCTATTGAAGTGCATCACTTCATTGTTCACTCGTGCCTTTAAGACCTGGAAAAAACAAGCAAACAAAAAATCAGGGTCTTTTTTCCCCAAGTAATGGAATTACAACTACCAGGACTAAGCTCCCATTAAGATGCAAATGCTGATACCTCTGGAGGATCCTTGGTTTTCTTATTCATTAAAAAACCAAGAAATGTCTCCTGTTGTTTGCTAGAAATGTTGGACAGGCAGGGATAAGGGAGCCTGGGCTCGGGAAAGGGAGCATCTTTCTTAATCTGCTTCTGCTCTGCTCCTGATTTTTTGGTATCCTCAAAGTCTCCTGTTCTTTCAACGGCTTTGTCTGCACTTAGATCCTCACTATCACAGCTGTCCCAGCAGGATGCTTGGCTGCTGATGCAACTGTTGTCTTTAAACTCTGCAGCTTCATTTGTGGAAGGAGAGCGGGAGACTTTTGCAGCCCCATCATCACACTCCTGTTTGGCTTTGGCATTCTCTACAGGACTTGAAGAAGGAGAATGAAAACACGAGTAGAATAAACAGATAGTGTAAATGCACTTGAAATTATAGTTTACTTTAACTGTTAATTTAATGGCATACCCTCGGAGAAAGGCCCACAGTTCTCTGATATTAGGTGCAAGGGAATATTTGTCATAAACATCTCTGGAAAAGAAAGGTCCTTCAGGAACTGGGTGGTCTTCCCTTCAAAAAATGAAAAAATAAAAGATATTAGAGACCCTATGTTGTTATTAAACCCGTCCAAAGTGCCAAACGTTTCTAGAATTTAACTGGTGTTTTTATATTGCTGTTGTATATTAAAAAATATTGATTACTACGGTAGATAAACTTGTTTATGTAAGACAAAAAGAAATAAAAAAGCCACCTGACAGATAATTAACAAAAGTATAAATATTCAATATTCACTTTAAAAAAAGTATTTTATAAATAAAATTTACTGACTATGGGGGGGGAAAACACCTTCTGAAGTTATTTTCTTAAAGGTTTGACTTAGTGTCGCAATTTCAAGGTATCTGACTCAAAGTTTCGAAAAAAATACCCCAACTTCATATTTAACTTATGGATGTTTTTTTTTAATCCCAGTGATAATAATAGCAATATCACAATATATCCAAAAAATGTAATATATACACAATTTGATTTCATTTTTCAGTTACTTTAATAAACGAAATATTAAAATATATTTTAATGCACTATTTTTTTGCACAAATATAATTCTAATTCTGGTATTAAGTCTTATTATTATCAAATCAACGTTTCCGCCAAACAGAGAGTAAACAAAGTGAAACACGTGTTTCTCTGAGAGAAATGTTGCGCAGCTGTTCTCAGGTGCAACTTCCTGTTTTCCCTTTCAAAATATAAAAGTTGTTTTGTTGTTGTTATAATGAATTCTTGAACAGAACTGATTATAAATTTAAAAAAAAATTTAAAAAAAATTAAAGTTGTAACGTCAGGTACAAACAATACAAAATCTAGTGTTTAGCTAACGGTATCAGCATACTGGAAAAATGAGCGAGAAAAACGAAATAATATAGAAACAACATTATTTTTTTAACTGGTAAAACAACATTTATTTAGATTTTTTTTTTTTTTAAATGGTGGAAGTGTCTAACAGTTCTCTAACTTCCCGTCTTATTTAAGCAGCTTGACAGACAGCTAGCCAAGGATAAATAACATGGTGCAGCCTCGTTTTGTAAGCACATGTTTCGGCTCCTGTTCGGAGTTAAACATTAAAGGTTTTACTCCTAAGGTAGCCACTAAATGGGATTTGAGTCCATATAAATAACGTTAAGTCAACGCCGCACAAAGTGTAAGTGAGCTCTCTCAACTCCTGTTAGCCAGCATGTGCTAATCCTTACTTCATGTAGCGAGCGTACTTAGCTCAAGCTGACAAATAATATCCACAAGGATTCAGTGGCAGTGAGAATGCTACGTACCATGTGAGCTCCATGGTGGTCTGTGACAGCGGTCCACAGGAAAAACTGCACTACTGTCTGTTAACTTTAGTGTTATCTGGCTAACACACGTTTGTTGAGCGACAGTATTCGTCTTGGTAAAATTCTGCTGACATTAACCGCTCTGTGTGCATTGCTGCCCCCTAACGGATGGTAACTATTAATCAATCGATTTTATTATTTTTGTGTGTGTGTGTATTTGGTTACAAATAAGATGACATTTCTTTGCAGCTTTGCTTTAGTGCTCGGTAACAGTTTCCCTGCCCATCTATGAAAGAGAAAAATACACTTGAATGTGTGTTCACGCCAACAGCCTAAAACATCTCCATGGTGTCTGTTTACAAATAACTCTCCTTACTTTGAATTAAGGAAGACCTTTTTTCAGCAAAGTGAGGGGAAAAGAGCATGCTGTATTCTAATTTTGCTACGAGCAGGTAATTCCCTTCATGTAATAATAATGTCCAAAGAACCTTTGCTGTCCAGTTCTGAGCCCCGTCTCTGTGTGGTTTCTGAGACCGCTGTTAGTTGCTATCTTGGGGTCTGTAAAATCTTATTATATCTGGAGATACGAGTCCCAGCTCTAGTACAGATAATTATAGGGAGACCTATCTGGATCTCTTGCTCATATCCACAGCGGTCTCAGGCATTAACCTGAATGCAGCTTACATGCTCCACTACTCTGCTGAGGTGTATGAAAACTAAGATCAAAAACACCAAAAGTAATAGCACTATTTAACATTTGACAAACTTAAACCCTTCTATTGGTCTTTTCTAAAATCAAGAGACTTGCTTTTTCCATTGAACTCTGGCGTCCATATAGATATTTTGTTGCCCGAGGAACCACCTTTAGCAGCAATAACTTGAAGAAATCATTGTTGAAGGATTTCTGCTCACTCTTCTTTACAAAATTGCTTCAGTTCATTGATTTGCAGGCAAAGCTCTGTTAAAGTCCCATTTGCAATGCCTTGATTAATTTATTTTTACAGCCTTTCTGGTGTAGACCTGCTGCTGTTCTTGGGGTCATTGTCTTCTTGCCATCCCCAACTTCAGCAATCAGACAGATTACCTCATATTTTAGAATACCACTCAGTACACTGTACAGAGGAGTTCGTGGTTCCCAGGTCCTGTGGCTGCACAACAAGCCCTAATTATCAGGACTCCACCACCGTGCATGACTGCTAGTATGAGGTGTTGGTGCTGATATGCTGTGTTTCACCAAAAGTGATGCTGTGCATGGCCAAACATCTCCGCTTTGATCTTGTCTATCCAGAAGACTTTGTTCCAGAAGTCTTGTGGTTTGTTCAGATGCAGCTTTGCAAACTTAAGGCATTCTGTCGTGTTGTTTTTAGGGAGAAAAGTCTTTCTTCTGGCCACCCGTCCAAACAAGCCATAAATATTCAGCCTTTTTCTAATTGTACTGTCAAAAACTTTAATATTTAACATACTGAGTCCTGTAGAGTCTGAGTAATTCTTGTTTTCTTTTCTCTGAGGTTTGCATTTGTTAGGATGTCCACACCTGTGAAGATTATGCTGTTGTATTAACACACAACGAAATGCTGCAGGTCAGAAAACTGCCATCATTGCTTTTATAGAGGTGATCACATTTGCTGATGCTCAGTTAATTAAGTGCATTTGATGAGCCTCTAAACTCCTATGGAAGCAACAAGGGTGCATTTAACTTTGCACAGGCCTGCATAGAGTTCACATGACTGTAAGCACATATAGAAAAACAATCTGAAATGTTGGATATTATTCCACAGTTTTGCAGTTAATAATGCTTAATCGAAATCTAAAATGTATTACATGGAAATCATTTAATGAAAAATGTATAAAGAGTCATTCATTAAAATAATTAATACAAGTGAAATGATTATCCAGATTTCTGGAGAAGCTTCAGATTTTGCATTCTTTTAGTCACCACAGATTTATTTAGATCTGGGTATTGTCCACATAATTCAGTCATTAAGAAAAGTTTCTAGCGGAGTGAGGCTCGTCACTCTGATTAAGTAACGGCAGAACGTGCGGTTTAACTTTTCTAGTGTGAGCTGAATACAGAGAGCAGACAACAGGAGACAGATAAACAGCCAGGGAAAAAACAAAGCCCATTACAAGCGGTAAATTTTATTATGGGATAACAGCACATAAAGCACATCTAAAATCGATGTGTCCAATGCACTTTTAATAAAGGTAATATTAAAGGTACAGTTTCTAAGTACAATATAACAACATTCATATTAGAATGAAAAGTATTTAAAAGACAACATTAAATTTCTTATTTTTCTTTACAGCCGTATTTACAAAATGAATCAAAATACTTATTTTCATATTTAAGAATCAGACAAGAAGGAGCAAAACTACGTTTGTGAATAGACTACCTGCTAAAGAGAGTTCAAAAGAGCTGGATAAAAAGGTACATGATCATCTGTCCCCATTTTACATCAGTAGCAAACATGTGACTTAGAAATTTGTGACAACCACACACTAGTTTCGGCTTTTTCCGTAATTCGTACTGCTTTTGCATGGAAAAAAAAAGAAGCCACCCTTGCTCCACCCTCCCCCACGCACCCACCCCATTTTTTATGTTAAATTACCCCAACAGACCGAGGGCACATTGAACACAGAACATTAAAGAAATCCAGATGCATCGTATGTCTGTTTTACAAACACATACAAATACTTAATATACAATGCATTAGTAAATCTTCCATCCTCAGTGAAATAAAAAAGAAAAAGTAGATTTAACACTAACAGAAAATGAAGAAATGTGGACTTTCTGTTAGGTATTTTTTGTTTGTTTAGTTCTTTTTTTTTCTTTTTTTTTGCTCAACCAGAAAAATCAAAACAATGTGCAGGAGAACACTTCTGTAATATCGTCCGCGAGCATTTGTCGACCAACGAGAAGCGACGTTCCCAGTTATGTTTCCGAAATGACGTGAGGGGTGACGTGTACACTCTAAACAGACCATCTACACATCGGAACCCTTCAACAACAACCCACGCGAAAAAGAATGAACAACACATGAAGAGAGAGAGTTTGAGAAAAACAAACAAAAAAAACAAACATTTTAAGCATGAGCGAGCGACAATTCCCCCTCATGTACAAAATACATTGTCACTTCAGTACACATCTGGAAAAACCACAAAAACAACAACAAAAAAGGACAATCAAAACCATGTATGCATTTTGTTACACCGAGAGGCACTCAGTGTGATACGTTGTGTATTATTGCAAGCATATTCTTACTGATATTTGCTACAGAGTCGAGAGAAAAGAAAAAGGTCAACTTTGTCTTCAAATGGCAATCCTCTCGTGTACATTTTAACACTTCAGTGTGGTGCAAAAGGCTTGTGCCACTGGTTCTGGAGAAACCGCTGCTTCAGGATCAGGATAGTCTTAAAATGGGGAATAACAAAAGCATACACCGAGGCTCTGTAAAATGAAATCCAAGCACCACTTCCCTGCATCAGGTGAAGAACAATGCAGACACGGGGAGGTAAATAGTATCTTAAAACCTGACAAACTAACTAGCCTCAGTGAGTGTTTTTTTCTTTACAATCACACAAAGGAAAAAGGACAAAAAAAATCCAATACTGCTGTTTCAGTTTGAATATTATAATTCTTCCACAAACCAGAAAAGCGACCTTAATAAGCTTGTTAATTCGCAGATACTAGCTTTGATATAAGTCAGAAGGAAATAAGTGCCTTATCCCAAGTCTAGCACACTGATACAGGTACTGGCTGGGTAATTTTACCACTATCATTTTCATTTTCATTATTATCATTATCATTATTATCATTATTCGTTGAGTCCTAATATCAATAATACATTAATATGCGATGAAATCAATGAACTAATAGGGCGGCCTGGCTTAGGAATCAATACTTGGTTCACAAAATTAACTTACCTAGCACCACACATCAGGGCAACACAAAATAAATGTCAGCACGCCCTATCGCTATCAAACTAATCCTAAAGGAGGGAAGCAAAGTAGAAACAGAGTTATCGTACAATATGATGTCATTGATAAACAGATAAATTTTTTTTTTTCACTGGGTAGGCCTTAGTAGCAGTATTTTCCTCTTACCCTATACAGACAGAAGTTACAAAGCTACCTTTATACATGTGATCAATAATAATATTAAATATGGTGAATAAACAGCAGAGAATGAGGGAGAGAGAGTGAGAAAATAAGATATACAGCACACAGGCCGTGTCAAGTTCTTAGTTCTCCACCTGGGAACAGAACTGGTCAAATGTACAGATGAAACATAAAAAAAAAGAGAAAACATCCACAAAATCAACACAAAAATAAAACCGAACCCAATGGCGATAAATAAGAGGTGTATTTACATGCAGATGTTCAAAGACTTATTATGCACAAAAGAATGAAAAATAATACACAGACATATATTATTGCTTGACATTCGATTATGGCTAAAAGTTGCTTTTCATTGTTTTGTCTCGTTATTTTTAAACTATATTCTTAAACGTAACTTTAATCATAAAGTCTTATCACCTGTGCTTTGGAAAATGGGTTTTGTTAAAATGCGACGACTGACTCACAATTCTGGGCGACACACCGGCAACCTCAAGCGTGACATAACGCCGGTCTTCACAATTTACGGTCGAAGACGCAATCTACAGTGCACATTTTGGCTCGGTTCATTTCAATTTAGGCTTGGACCAACAAACTGATAGCGAAGAATTTTTTCTTTTGAGACCCGTGAATTGTCGAAGGCGTTATGTCATGCTTTTTAAAATCTACAACTATTATGGATGGATCGAGCTCAGCATTCCTCAAAACCTTTGCTTCTTTTTTGTTAGAAAATGTAAAAAAAAGAAAGAAAAAAAGATCAAAACCTCTTCATCCACATGACCCTGTTCCTCTGTAATTATTAAAGCCTTGTCTGGGTTTTTTTTTTAAATATTCACATACTGTGAGAACAGACAGACACACACACACGCACACACTATTGCTTTTTACAGACAACAGAGCAGAGACAAAAGGACCAGCACATTTTACTGTATACTATACACTGATTGAATAGCACAAGTAGCATCGATCCCTCGCTTAAAGTGGGATATCTCGAATGAGAATATACAGAAAGACATCACTTTTCAGGCCCGTGTAAAGGCGTAGTTTATAGTTATACACAAGCATCTGTGTGTTTGGTGACCGTTTCCTGCAATCTTCCCTCTATCGGAACCTTAAGAAGATTAAAAAATAGAGTGATTGGGCTTTATTACTTCTTTTTGTTCAGAAAAAGAGTAAACAAAAATCAACTGTATGAATAAAGTCAATTGAAAAAAGATGATGGCTGCACTGTAGAGACCCGTAATTATAACACAAGGCATATTGCTTGTTATACATTGTAGAGCACATTACCAGCTACTCGACTAAAATGAAAAACAAAACACATTTTATGAGATAAGAACCCCTTTTTAGTGGTAGACCTTAGGCTGACCATGTTTGACAGAATATTGTTTACGTGATCACATAACGTTTGAAGAAGAAATAATAATCTTCAAGAAACAAACAAACAAAATGAAAAGAATTGACAAAGAATCAGCCAAATCTCAATTTTCTCATTATTTTCTAACAAAATGTTCAGTGTGCTACGCCAAAAAAAAAAAAAACAATAATTAAAAATAAAATAGAAAAAGTTCAGCCAAGCTCCTCTCATCATTTGAGTGCTTTTTAAAGATTTTCAAAAAAATCTCATAAATTCACCAAAAAAACCCAAAAAAAAGTTAATGAAATGCTCCGCGACTCCAGAGGAAAGCGAGCCGTTTCTTCGGTCTACCTGTTACCTCCCTGAGCGTTCGCACCTAATCCTTTTTTCTGCTCTTGGCGGGCCGCCGGGCCTCTCAACACCGGATTGTCTAGCAGTGTTCCAGACTGGGTTTCTTTTGCTTTGAGACTGAGGTTTTCTAGTCGTACAGGGCTTGTGCATATCCAAAATAGCATTGGATCGTTAACAGATATTATTACTTAGGTACAGCATATTTACTAACAACCCAAAACACAACAGATTTAGTATTGCATAAGAATATTTGGTTTCCTAACAAAGAGGGTTATTATTCATAAAGACCCTGATGACACCGTTTTAAACCAAAACAGATTTTTTTTAAAAATTATTTTGTGTGCGTGAAAGAAATATGCCGTGTACTGAAAAACTACACTTTGTAAATGCGATGGGGTTTGATGGGTTTTTCTTTTACAAAGAAGATTTGCTTTCATTAATCGACTTGGCTGGAGGCCCTTTAAGGACACCAATAATGTGAAATTCTGAACAACTCTGTGATGAATTTTCAAATCGGAATTTTCAACCACTTCTCATGGAACGTCCCTGAAAAAAAAAAGAGAGAACGATAGAAAGAAAAAATATCTACTAAACTATAAATCTAATGAATTCAAACAGAAAAGCACAGAAGAAACTCTTCCCTGAGGGGTGACAGCGCAAGGCATTAACGCCTCGCGCAAATTGCACGGTAGAGGAATGATAGTGTGCAAACAAAAGGAAAACAACAACAAACAAACAAACAAACAAAAAGACAAAACAACTGGATTCAATGTTACAGACAGACTGGTGACAGATGTGTTAACATGCTTTGTCGGGTTTCTAAAGGGATATCATTTTTTTCTAGTCTTTTCTTTTTTTGTTCTTTTTTTTTTTTTGTTCTTAACGATTTTTCTAAAAGCCGCTACTGAGATTGCTGGAATGTCTTAGGAATCCATTCTACATTACAGACGAGTAGACTGGAAAAGCGGAAGCAACGACTATTGTTTGGCACATCCAGGGTTGTTTCTTTTTTTTCTTTTTTCTACCACTTTACTACCACACTGACAAAAAAGACGCACTCAACAAAAACAGAAGCACAACAACAAAGCATTCTGAAAATAGCACTTGTCCTACCATTTTTATGCTTCTCCCCTAATCATACGAACAACGGCTAGTCTAATTATTGCAGGGATATAGTTAAGTGCTACCTGACATCTTTTTCTCTCCCTCGTTCTCTTTCGTGAGTTTATTAACCAAAACAAGTTACAAAAATAGAAGCTTTACAACCAGACAAGGCTTTGAATATTCACTTTCCCTTCACTGTTTCTTCTGTGTCCTGTCGTGGCGTTGCCAGGCTGAGACTGCGGTGAGAAGGCAGATAAAGACGCTGAAAATGTTCTTACAGAGGCTCGTAAATGTGCTTTTTAGGTTAGACCCCGGGGTCTCTTGCCATTAGGCTGTTAACTCGCTTGCTGTATCTTTATCTTCCACTAGATGGAACAATTGGATTAGAGACTGCATGTGAGTTTCCCAGTCCAACCACATGGCTATTTGGGTTGATTTATAGCCTTAAAGAAAAATGTACAGATTTTCACAGTACAATGAGAAGCAAATGTTTAGTAAAAAAAAAAAAAAATCCCCAAAATCTGTCACCCGAGCACACCTAAGTTTTCTTGTATTTTCAAAAACTTGAAACAGATGCCATGAAATCCAGATCTGTTCACAACAAAAACAAAACATCACCGCAAGGTTTTTTTGTATTATTTTTTATGTTTGTGCATGCTCCCCTCAGAGGAGTATCACAGCTACATTTTGACAGGCGTCGCACTGGCAGTTGTTGCGAAAACAAGCGACGGAGTGTCTTTAACCTGCCTTCTCATCCACGCCTCTTTTGTTCGCCAACCGGCAGCCACGCCAGCCACCCTAACAGACATCCCGTACGCTTCCAGTAGACCAGTAACATCTGCAGCTCCCGGGACTAACCTCTGCATCCATGATTCAACTTGTATTTCTTGTGCACATGCAACACATCACTAGGTAAATATACAAGTCTTAAATTAAAGAACGGTGTAAATAAAAGTGCCTTATCAATTCAACAATTAAGAATGGTCTAACTACTAATATCATACATGTTATTTAAAATAGATTCTATAAACATTACTTTTTTCTGTATAGTAAGTACTTATGACCATATACCCTGTAGTACATTATAAAACAGGTGGAATGGACCCTTTTCATTGTATTGGCGCCCTGTGCTTCTCCAGGGCACCTGTCCAGAGAAGGATTAATAGCAGATGGCCTTACATGGTTTCACTATGCAACAATGGTGGATGGAGTCTTTGACAACTTAAATCATTGCGTTTTCATTAGAATTACCAGAATTCTAGGTTTCTTTTTTTTCTCTCTCTTTTAAACGATTGTCCACAGAGAAGTGCCGATTGCAACGCCATGCCAATGGAACCTCCCTCGAAGTCGCCGTGAGTTTTCATCCCAAGCACTGCGTCATCCCAAACGACACGGCTTGAGCACAAGAGAAAAGAGGCTGAACTTGACCAAAGTGTGCGCGTTTATCTTTTTTTTGTTTGTTGTTGTTGTCACTTTTTCTGCGTAAAAAGGTGACAGCTTTGACCATGGAAAGAAAGCAGAACTGTTACGGGAGTGTAACCTGGGAAATAATACTGATGTGGTCATCCTCTAAATGAAGAGGTCTTCAGCTTTTCTTTTCTTTTTCTTCAAAGGTGTCTCATTAATTGTTCATAATGATTAGAAGCCAGGTGTGCAGATTAAAAAAAAAAAAAAAAGGGAGAATGATAGGGGGTGATGCAGTTAATCAAGTGAAAACAACGACGAATGAAGAGAATTGGGTTAGAAAAGCGCATAAGAGGGTCAAGTTCAACCAAACAGAAATGATTTGTTCCTATCTCCTCTTCATGTCCCGTGGGGTGTCGGGTCCCACAATTCTTACAAAGAGAACTAGATTCAATATGGTAAACCTTGACAATCAACTCCCCAAGCCCTACCCTCCAATGTAAAAGAAGAAGTTGAACAGCGTGCCATCTGTCCGCTCTGGTGTGTGCAGGGCACCAGTAAAGTGTCTCAGATTCCTCCTCCACATTCCCCTACGGTGGGCACACTGGCACCTGGCAGGGTTGCTACCCGTCAAGGGGAATGGACTGCTCAAAGTCTGATCCAAACAGCTCCTTGTATAACGGGGGGAAGTGGGCACGCACAATGTCTGGGTATATTGCTTTGAAAGCTGTAAGCTTCTCTGTATGCCTACTGCACAGCGCCCGCAGTGTCGACACTTTGCATATCAACTGTGGAGAGAGAGGAGACAGGCTGTTTAGATTCACAGGGAGGCAAGGACATGGAGCAATGGTAGTGAAAAACATTCCTCCCTACAGTGTATTCCGTCTCACACAGGGGCAAACAGACTTGTAAATATTGAGACAAGCGCTCAGGCACAAGGAAAACTTGACACTTTATATTAAGGAGCCGGTGTAGCTGATAACAAAGCATATACTGATAAAAGAGGTATTTCATGTCACATTATGAATGTTTCCTCCGAAATCTGGGTTCATTTAATCTACTGGGGTTAAAAATGTTTCAAGGCCAGTGGATAAAGATCCTAAGCAGTGTAAGATTAAATTGCTACAACAGCAGGGAATTCCAGCTTTCGGGGATAACGGATGAAGTGTGTTCTGTATGCACTGTACCTTTGTAAGTATACCGTCCTCTCTGTGGTTCTTCTGCAGGACGTGCTGGAGGGCCAGTTGGATCTTCTGCTGGAGTTTTTCCACCTTCACCTTCTCCTGCAGCCAGGACCGGTCTGGAAGGAAAATAGTCACATCTTTATGTGGCTGTAAAACACATGTGGGGCTCTTCAAAGCCAAACACAATTCTTGAAATGCAAGATTTTAATTATCAGAAAAAAATAGGACTGCAACAGTGTGTTCATTATTGTGGTGAATGTATGTTTGCCTTTTTTTCACCCTCTCTTTGCACCGTGAATGACACCTACCAGCAGACATCAACACAAAGGCGGAGAACAGGGCGATCTCATCCTCAGACAGGTGCATAGAACACAAGTTTTTCCCAAACTCGAAGACGGAGCTGATCAAGTCGTCACAGCCTGCCGCAGCAAAGGACAGAGAGAGGGGGCTTAGGATATGGAAGACCAAAGAACAACATTCACTCTTGATCTTTATTGGGAGAGAGGCACACGGGGAGGGGAGAGGAAAGGGGGAGAAATGAAAAAGAGCGGCGTGCTGACAGCACATGGGAGCGTCTTAAGCAGAACAGGCAATGCTTTTACTGAGTTTTGCCTCCCAGACGAGTCACTTTTGGCAGTTGGGTGGCGTTATGCAAGCCAAAATGAGGTCACTATTGAGGCTTTTAGTTAAATCAATTATCGGAGATAGAGAGAGACAGGCGGATGCCACGGCAGCTCGGGAAGCCCATCACTCTGCCTCCCCCACTGTGGACCTCTCGGCACAGAATTCATAGGACACTGGTATAGTACACACACATGCTCACTCGTATACAAACACAATGATAGTGAATGCAAACTCACAATGAGAAACAGAATTCTCCACTTTTTCAGCCACTATGGGATGCATTTACATTTTTTTTTTGTCAAAAGGTAGCTGGAAAAATCCACGGCGGGACATCTTAGCAGTAATATGGCAGTCTGACACAAATTCTATTTGCTTTCGCCTGAGATGTTTTATGTCAGGCTATCAATGATAGTTTTGATAGCACTCTCCCTAAAGACACTCCGTCTGGCTTTATTTATTCCACAGTTACAGGAGCCATATGCAGCAGAGCCTCACTAAGATCTCTGTTCTACCATAAATAACCGCTGAAAAGACAGCAATGCCAGGTGAGGAAGGGATGAGTGTTTGCTTCGAGGCGTTCAGCATTGTGCAGAACAGAACAGCAGACTCTAATTCTGGCTGTTACAACAAAGAAAGGAGTAATACACTGTAAAAAAAACAAAAAAAAACCAACTAAACACACTCACACAAACACAGCAGCACAAAAATACACACATGCACAGTCATTCAAATGCATGAGTGCACACGCGCACACACACGTGCCTAAACCCACTCCACTTACCTAATGACTTGAACACATCAGGTCCAGCATATTTTCCATCAAAATACACTGTGTTGTTTTGCGTGTCAAAGGCACGGCACATTCTGACAAACACAACTTCCAGAGAGCCTGTGGAGACAGACAGGAATAAGATGCTGAATCTGAGCTTTGTTATTTCTGTTTTTTTCCTTTATCCCAACAGTTACACATCAGTCAGCCATGCAAAACACATGATTTAGCTTTGTGCTAATCTTCTACAATATGACTAACACAACCACTTTGAAATAAAAAAGCCTGCTGTCAGAGTGAAGAAAAAAAAAGCCTCTGCAGATGAAAACATCATCGACAGAAGGCTATTCTTCCATAATGACATGCCTGATAAAAAATTGTACTCCATTCATTGGTGACAGTGCTTATTCATTCAACCTTTATTTAGATAGATAGGTGTTTATTGTGTTGTATAATTTGCACCACCCTGTGGGAGTGGATAAGAGGATCAAGAAAATGTAACTGAAGCCATTATTGCCTCCAAGGGAGATGCTACTGTTTTAAAATGTCATGTCTGACAAGGGATCTCGCTCTGTATTTCGTTATTCGTATGGGCTGTGCTAATGTAAAGAAACACCCAGGGAAGGACCCAGGAGAGCTGTTTGTTTGCTGGATATGAGGTAGATGTGTGTCTGTATTTGTCTATAAATATAGGTGACTGTGTGCAAAGAGCCATAGCAGGGTTATATATACACAATTCTGTGAGTGCATCTTAAGAGAAGTTTAAACAGACATCGCTGATGCTTGAGAAAAGGAGAGAGAAATGGCGGCAGGCATGATAGGTATTATCTGAGCTCGGGAACACATGACTTATCTAATGCTGTGTCTGCCTTTGTTATGTATGTAATGAACGGAGCCAAACGGGGAGAGACAGAGACGGTGAGGGAAAGCAGGTGGGGTGGGGTCTCCTCTCTGTGACACTGTCTGTGCCTGTGAAGAAGAGGGCTTTGTGCAGTCAGGTCAGCTACGCCCTTGTGACAATGCCAGAGGAGAGGGGTGGAGGGGCTGGTAGTGGTGGGTGAGTTTGACGGCAACAGGCCATGTTGACAAGCTGTCATACCTGCTTTCAGCAGCACTATCTGATCGTTCTGACACAGCTCCATGAAGCCGTCGATGCGCTTGGCAAACTCCACCACATACTGAATGGCCTCTGTTATTTTGATAGCGCACAGCTGCCACATGACTTCCCGGGGCTAAGAACAGATAGGACAGTGAATGGGTTATCTACTTTAAAACAATGATTCTGATTACTGTAACTGCTGTGGAGACCCAGAAAGGCACAGCGGTGGTAAAGATACCTTGTTCTGGTAGCTCTCCACCTCCTCTTGCAGGAAAGCCTGCCAGGTCATCTGCTGCAGCTCCTCTCTCAGATACTGACATGTCTCCATGTGTGACTTAGAAATGTTCTGGGCCAGGTGTTCTGAAACACAAGCAGTCACAAAGACGGAAGATCACAGTTGAGATTCGAATGTTTCTCACAAGGCTATGTGAAAGTGAAGACCTCACTGATGAAATATGCCACAGGAAAAGAAGATTTATTTACTGAGCCTTCGTGAAGGAGGAGAGGCGGATACGCGTGGGCTTTTTTTGACTGGGAAAAGGCTTGTTGACATTTCCTTTTACTGCCTGCAGGAAGCTCATAGCTTAAGGTTGAGGGAAAGCCAATCTAGTTATGACACAAATGCATGGAAAGGAGGAGGGGTGCCACGTTACTCACTGAAACAAAGGTCACATTTTCTCTGAGAGAAATATTGAGTATAAGAATTTAAATGGTTTTGAAAACACATCTGTTAAAAGGAGTTCCTAGGCACAGGGGAGCCTAAAAAAATGATTTCCCCAGACGCCTGCCCTGCTGGATCCTGATTGGCCCTAATTAATGGAAACTAATTACAAAAAGAGGCTCTTTTAATGAGTGTTGGAGATGAGTCTCCAACCTCCTGCTATTTTAAGCAACCTTTGTGTCGTTTGCCCCACGGTTGAGTTGTTCCCCCCCTCTCCTTCATTTTGCTGTCTCCTTTTGCCTTTTGCCTCTCCCTCTCTCTCGCTGCTGCTCCTTACCTAGTTCAGCCATGGACACGGTGGGGGAGGTTTCTCCATTGGTGAAGGAGCAGTAGGGGAAGAAGCCAGAGCCTGGGGCAAAGTCGCAGATGGGCTCCGGCTTGATGCCGTTGATGTCCAGGCCTGACTGGTCAGGAGATGGCTGAATGTCCAGGTAGAAGCTGCTGACAGCCGAGTCTGGTTTGCTGCCATCAGGAGTATGACCATCCATGTAGCCGCTGAGGTCATCGTGAAGCTCCGTGAGGCCACTGGCAGAGAGGCCGTAGCTAGGTGTGAGTGGCTCCGCCTCCCCAGGCTGTTGTTGGTGGTCACGTTGCTGCTGCTGCAGCCGGTGCTTCTGGACCTCAGCGTATAGGCTGTCTCGCTGCTTCTTTGACATCCGACCAAACTTCACTGCTGTAATTAGCAGGACAAGACAAGTGTGAGACTAACAAAACACTCAGAATTGGTGGCACTTTCTATGAAGGATCTTTGCATCAAGTAAAATAAATGTACTAAGTTTAATTTACTTATTGTATTCACAGTCAAGTGATTGTGAACCACTACTAGTTTTACTAGCGGGTTGGGCGTACATAGAATATCACTGTTTTTTGAGAATCAGTGTTTTATCAAAGCACTCTCCCCCAAATGCCTTACATTAAAGTAACCAATTAAATAATGAAATAAATAAATATATTGTTAGTTATTTACCAGTTTTGATCTGATTTGTACTGTTTTGATTTGCTGTAATTTACAGTCGAGCCACTTTCTCCCCTCTCCTGTGCTCTCGATTTCACCATATGCATGCTGTGTCAGGCAAAAGCTTGCCTACACTCAAGCTGAAGAAAACTTGCATTCATTTCAACACTTCCCCAAAGCAGTCCATCTAGGAGAAAACACTCAATACGATTATTTTTTCAAACCTAGTAAAAGATTTTAAATTATATGGCATTCTCTTTTGCCTCATCTTTAAGTATACTGACACTTGTCTCTAGGAAATACAATGGAATTGCACAGACTGAGTTTCCTCACACGTTTGGGAATTTTTTGGGAAGAAATTAAAGTCTTAGGCAATTTAATTACCCTTCATCTATAAACTGTGCTTTACTATCAGAAAGCAGCACACCATATATTTTAGCCACGGGTTATTCCCATTAATTTACAACATATTTTTATCTAGGGGGGGATCAGCATTAATTATATTGATTTAGAGATTATTATGAGCAGCTTCACAAATGCAGAGGTAAAGGTGGAAAGGAACCAGAAAAGCTTATCAGACAATCAAACAGCCCAAGTGTCTGCCTCCCACCTTAAGGTTTCCAGACTAAACATTGGTTCTGTGAATGAGACTTCTTGGCCGGTGTTCTGGGGGCCTGGCAATAAGTCAGCCGGTCACAGTGTGTGTATGTGTGTGTGTATGCACAGTGGAAAGTGAGTGGAACAGCAGAGAAGAGTTCGGGCAGATGGGCTCTGGTGTGTTCAGTGAAGGTAAGAGTCACCTTCTACTGTCCAGAGTGTGTGTTTATACATGAGTGTGTCTTCATACGTGCATGTAATAATGTATACTGGATAGCTGCGCACACGGTGCTAATGCACTTCTGTGTTAATTTAATAAGTGTGCATGTGTGTCTATGAAGTTGTACCAGTCTCTTCGCTTGTACTCCGTTCAAGTTTTCACTTGTCTGTGCACATCCCTCTGTGCCATTTACAGAAAAATGGCATGGCTCTGCTCTGTTCTGATAGAATCTCTTAAGCCCAGTCTAGTTTGGACCAGCCTGGCACAGCAGGAGCCCCTCTGCACACACCCCCACCTGTGTGATCCCATTACTGCATCTCAGCTGCAGCAGGACTAATGACAACCTCTAACAACCTTGTATTTCATCAAACCTAGTTTCTATCACAGCAACAAATTAGGCCCACAGACATAGTGCTCACCTACTACTGGCAGAGAATGAACACAGACTGACAGCTTAACATGTTCTCGTGCCAAGAATTCCTTTGGAAATGTCTGTTGTACCCCTTTGAGAATAACGACATTATCTCATCTCATTCCTACAGATTTTCTTTGTCTCTCCAGCGAGATTCAAATACACAGCTGCTAAAAGATATAGACTGACTTGATAATGTAAATTAGAGCTGCTTCTCAGTAAGTTTGATATTTTCACTGCCACAAGGAAGCTCTTTTTGCTCCCTTTACGGGGAGGTCAGTGTCCAACAGTTTCCCTGAAGCATCGATCCAAAGGCGGTTTAGCGGAGCACACGTTTGCCCACACAGGAGCCTGAACCGGGGCTCTTCACATCTCACCACTCACCATGCCACCCTGCTAAATCCACCCACTTGCTTCTCCTCTTCCATAGAGGACTTACCATCTCGTGACATGCCCACTGCCAGGCACTTCTGCAGCCGGCAGTGCTGGCAGCGGTTGCGGCTTGTGCGGTCGATCAAGCAGTTCTTCTGACGGGGACAGGAGTAAGCTGCATTGCTCTGCTGACTCCTCCTGAAAAAGCCCTGCATTAAACAGAGGACAGACAAGGAAACAGCTCGGGTTACTGGAAAAACTTGTGTGAGTGAAGTCGTGTTTTCATCTCGAAGGATCAATTCATGCCCCATGTCAATAGCATAGCCGTAGCTCAGGTTGTAGAGAGGTTTGTCTGCTAATCATATGGGTTCAATCGCTAACGTCCTCGACATGCTGAAGCTTCCTCGCGAAAGTCACTGAACTCCAAGTTGCTTCAGATGTGTGTGCGTGAATAACAAACATGTAAAATGCTTTATAGAACCAGTAAGGTTAAAAGGTGCTCTGTAAAAAGTGATCTGTTTACCACTGTGCTTAACATATTACTCATTGACCGTGACTGTTTCCAAGTGGTGTTTTTTTTAAATTATTAATATGAAATTGATACATAACAATACTACCGTGACTATATTTTCTACTGTAGTATCTTAGGAGTGCTGCATTTCAACCGTGAGTACAGCATGAGGGTGTTGTGTTTGGGTAGGAATGATAACAGTGGATGGTTATTAGTGTTGATTAACGCAGCACTGGCATGCGCGGTGTTAAAGGATTGTGAATGCACACCGACCGGATTCCTCATCCTTTGACTTAATGAATTGATTCCAGCACATCATTAACATGCCCCACTCTACTGCTCCATACACATATGTCTTAATTAGCTGCTCATTGGCTGTTTAATTACAAGAAAACAGCTGACAGCTGCCAAGTTGCTTTATAATAGAAGCCATTATGGAAACCGACTAAAACTGCCAGTGACAAGCAGCACTCTTTAATAATGCTATGATTTATGGTCCAAACTTTTGTACTCGCACATATCATTAAAGGCCTCTCTGCCTGGACTAATTAGCAGTCATTAAAGATAGATTTCAGCAGTTTATTCTTTAGTGTTTTGTCCCTGCAAGCTCCTATGTGAGGGAGAAGAGTGCAGGAAAGGAAACTCTCTCTGTCCCTCTCTTGTCTGCCTCTCTCTCCTTCACACACACACACACACACGCGCGCGCACACACACACACGTGCACATATATAACCAGGAGCAAACAGCAAAGGTGCAGGCTGGCTGAGGAATGCTAATGATGTGCCTGGTGACAAGCATGGGGACAAGAATACACTCTAAGCACAAAATTCCTCTCACTGTGAATGGTTGGTGCATTTGAAACAGTACAAAAGGTGGCTTCAATAGAAGCAACACACTGTAGCAAACAGCCAACAATCTGCTATAATTCAAAGCACTGTGCTTTTGATCATTTTATTTCAAGAAGAGCAGGCTGCAGCAAAAGCAAAAACAGCAAAAGACACGTCCCTGGGAGGGAAAGGCAAAGCAAGGCAGAGGAATGACTTTGTCCTACTAATTGTGGTTTTCTGTGATGTCCTCTGCGGTGCTTGACCACTTTAATGATCACACTCCGCGTGTCTTTGCTTTGCAGTCCCTCTCCAAATCGTCGCAAAACTTCAGCAACATTTTCAAGTGTATTTTTTCCTCGCAAGCAACTTTCGGCACTTCCCCGGCGTTCCCAGTCTTTCCTCTTTGAGCTCTTCTGTCCCTTTGCGTGCACGCAGGCACACTACCTCCCTTGGCACAAACGGGTTCGGTCTCTTGATGCTTACCTTACAGCCTTCACATGTTATCACGCCGTAATGGATGCCTGATGATTTGTCTCCACAGATCTTGCAGGGAATTATTTCGATTTGAGCTGCGGAGAAGAAAAGGAAACGAAAGAAGAAGAAAAAAAATAAATAAAAACATTGCTGTCACAAGTCACTGTACAACACCCTCACCATGGATCCATGTCGGTACATGAAAGAGCACCGTGCTTCTAAAAACATCTCATCCGATGGCTTTTGAATCTTCACTTCCACACAGCATTAGCTGAATATTTACCGATTTGTAATGTGTGTCTGTGTGTGTGTCTGTGTGTAAGCAAGGAGGCCATTTTAACTCCTTACAAGCAGCAATGTAAACAGAGTGTCATTTTGGATCCTAAACACAACCTCTAGAAGAAAAGTTACCCATAATCCTTAATGTACAACAGGAGCACTAATATTGGCCTTGTATTACGGCAATGACTCATTTAGCCACACGAGGAGATGTTTTCCTCGCTGGAAAACTTGACTTCATGAAGCCTCGTATATATTTCAGAACCATAAAAAACCCAGGAGTAAATCCACCGTGGCCACAAAGAATCATAACATGCCCGCTGTGCTGCAGGGAGCTGTGGCAGCGACTGCATGTGCACCTCTGTATACGCTACAGGGTTCAGTTGCGGTTTGGCTGTGGTGTTGTGCTGTTGACAGGCCTGTGATTCACCCGCCTTAAGAGGACAAAAGCAACGAGGGGACAGGCCTCATCCATCGTTGGCCTTCTCCTCAGGAGCCGACCACAGGGCAACACAGCAGAACAGACAGAACACACAGACATCAGAGACACAGAACTCCCAGCTCGTCCCACTGCTTTCAGCTTTATCACTGCAGCCACTGATGCTACCATCCCTCTCCACCTCCACCCCCACCCCACTCCAGAGATCTCTATCTCAAAGCCCTCCTCCACATCTCTAGCATCTCAGTCCCGCCATCCCAACAGTGCACTACAGCGCCAGACAAACGCCACTATCTGATCTAAATCGAGGAAAGATCACCGCAGGATATTTTCTCACAATCTAATGGTTTTTGGGATTTTTTTTTTAACTAACCAACCTGGAGCCAGCCAATCACGGTGCAATGAGTTGTTGCAGCACAAGTCTATACCAATTAGTGGAGGAATATTATGATTTGTCTTGCAGGGATGAAATAGAAATTATAATATTTTAAAATATAGTGGCACGTTCACAGTGTCAAAGTATTACATCAGCCTCACCCCTCTAACAAGGCCTAACTGTCTACTACAATGCCTCAGGTCTCTTCTAAAGACAAGGAGCTTTAAATATCCCCTTCAACACCTTAACAACCAGCCTCTTTAAACTAGTTTGATCACATCAAAAGTACTTTTGTGGGGTTCAATCCAGAGATCCCTGCCCATTTTAATCAGCTGCCTACGAGCCTATAATGTGTCATGTGGATAATGTCCTTGTCCCGGAGGCATGCCCGGGAGAGGCCCTTAACACACAGACTCTAATCCACTAACCCGGGAGCCACACTCTATTCATTCAGGAATCTGTCTGTTCTCCTCGCACTGCTGGAGTCAACAAGACCAGCCATGTTTACTTGGAATTAGCCTACATTTTAGCAAAACGAACAAAAGGGAGTGGTGGAACATGCACAATTAATTCTCCTCCAGACAACACCTCCTGTGATTTGCGATTCTCACATACAATAGAGGGCACTGCACCTCATCGGCCCGGATTAGAGTGAAATCCAGGCAGGAGGCGGGCTTTGACAACCTAACTGAGAGGGTTAATTCATAATTAATCTTCTCCTTACTGTGCACAGTTACTTGTTATTTCATTTAGGTCTATCTCTGTATGAGTGCACTCTATTGTTTGTTTTTGTGTTCTCCCCGCATGAGCATTAGCAGTGCAGTGTGTTTCGACTCCTTTAGCATTTTCAGCCTCATTACTTACATAATTTGTTCTGACATGCACTCACAACAACTGAAGCGTGCTGTAATTATGACTAGCTGCGGTTATGATGAACTAAAGGTTGTAGGGGCAGGCCCCAGCCATTGGGTGGCAGTGCAGGGCTGTAGCTATGGTTGTCTTGCCAAGTTAAGCCAAGCTTCCACCCACCCTATCCAGCCCACAGGCTTTTGGCTCTGAGCTCCAGCCTCTGATAGCTTCAGGCTTAGGCTGCTGCTAGCTTCCCCCACCCCCACAGCATAGCTGTGAGATGCCTTCATCTCTCCTGAAGAAGCGGAGCTGGCTGGGCGCTCACTCAGGCCTGACAGAGGCTGTGCCACATCAGGTGAAAGCAGTGGGAGTATAGACACAGGGGTGCCAGGCTAGGCAGGGCATACATTCACACAAGCATGCCTCACATAGCCCTATCTGCAGCATGAAGGCCCTGAGTGCACACAGTCTCACTAGCTAACACTCTTCTCCCTCCACCGCTGCACAAGCCCCTAGATGTTCAGTGCACTCAACAATAAAAAGGGTTTGTCTCTGGACCAGCTGAGACAGGCTCCATAGCTTCTTGTAGGAGAAAAGACATCACTTCGAACATATAGTTATTTCCACGCTAGGCTGAGCTGCTTTCATAAAGAAAGGGGTCAAGGAGAAGAAATGAGCAATGGCACAACGGAGATCAAATACACCATGAAGTCACCTAAATCATCAGTCAATATTTGCCCCTTTGAGTGACTGGTCATGAGGCCCCTAAGCCACACTTCAGACAACTGAGGATGATTTGAACTGAATTCACAGAGGGGACCCAATCAAACAGAAAGGCCTACACTTATAAGCACTCCCAATCTGGCAGTCAATATCTATTGACATGAGCTGCGGTGTTAACTGCCTCTTGGTGTGAAACAGGCAGCTGCTGGCTCGCTTGAGCTTGACCGGTGCAGTGCCACTGATCCCATTCACCGCGCCTGCCTGCCTGCCTGCCTGCCTCTCTGCCTGCCACTTCCCTGTCAGCCAGCCTTGCCTGCTCTGTTTACGACATCAAAGCCAGGCACAGTTAGACAGGCAGTCATGCTAAAGTCCATCCCAGCAGCCCGCTGCTCCTCACAGCACTGTGAGATGGCCTCTGCACGCAGGACACTTCAGAGACACCTGCTGAGATGCCAAGATTACGTTTGAATCACACCACAACACAATCTTATCACGGATAAGACCATGAGGGTCGTACAGCGTCTCAGGACTGTATACAGCATTTGCAGCGAGGTGCGGGTGGGCTTGGGTGATAGGCATGGCAAAGAGAGCAGACAGTGAAACAGAATGTTAAAGCTTGTTCTTTGTCTGTCTGTGTCTGAGCAGTTCAAGGACACTGATTCACAACACTGGCAGGCCTTTTGAGAGGATGACGTGTCACTCAGAGCACATGTACAATGGGGCAGTGAGGCCTCCGTATGCTCACTCGGTGCCCTTCACTGTCTTCTTCACAGCCCTGAGATCATCAGCCCCTTTATTAAAACTTCAGCACACATTAACAAGGACCAGGAAACGATCATTCAACTCTGACCGCTCATAACAATTTACAAAGTCCACGCTAACAGTTTACCGAGGCTGCTTACTTGCTGCCTAACCACTGAGTAAGCAGCTATTAGCAGATAAAAACACATTCGCCTGCGTGATGCAAATTTAAATTAAAGATGTAAGGAATGATGCGCAAGATTCTATCAAGGTGAAGAATAAAATGACTGCTGATGAAAAGAACAAGTAAGTGTGCACTGAGAGGACCTGCTCATGGTATCAGATAGGGCTGCGCAATATGACCAAAATCTCATATCCCGATATAAGACATTTATCGTCCTGACAACGATATAAATCACACGTTTTTATATCGTCATCCGATATATATCGTTATATCGAACAGCCCTAGTATCAGATATAGACTGTATTCTTGTCAGATGTAAACAAACCATTAATTCAGCTAATTCCTCGTTTTTTTCTCTCCATATTATTCACTGTAGCATGCAGATAAAAAAAACAACCCATAGAGCAACTGAAAATCCTACAGGCTTGTGCCAACATGGAAAATCACTACTAGTCAAAATCTCCTGGCTGTTCCCACTGAACCCTTGGACTACTGACATAACGTTGACGGATTAAGATTATCCCTTACATTACAGACCCATGCCCGGGCCACCATCATAATGCTGAGAGCTTAACCCATTACTCGATTGGACCATTAAATCATTTTCCCATAGCCTTCATGTGATAGATGTGTAGAATAAATTAGGTTTGAAACCAAAGCTTCTACGCTGCTCCGTACGGGAATAAAATATTTCTTTTTGTTTTTTTGGGGGGGCTCATTTACAATGTACACCACTCTGGGGAAAAAAACCCAACAAAAAAAACCCCAAACATTGGCTTCTCTATGTGTGACAGCCGTGTTGTGCTGACAGCTGTCAATGACAGAGTGACGCAAGCCAGCGGGCTCATGTCAGAGATTATGTAAGGAACTGGACAGGGCACAGCATTATGAGCAGATTAGCAAATTCTCTCCCACACATAACAAAGTGTGCTAATATATTATCTTTCTAAAATATTTAGCAACAAATCAAAACAAAAGCTTATGGGGATATCGGCTCCCAAGACAGTTATACAAAGCACATTTTCTTACAGAGCCTTCAAACGCGGTCAACACGCAAACACCAGAGGCACTGAACTGTCTGGCAAATGCGCACTAAGCAATGTTTCTCCATCATTATGCGTCTATTTATTTTCCTTACATGAACTTCCCATTTGGAAATGGAGATCAGCTGTCGGTTGATAAACAGAGTCTTCTCTGAACAGATTCCCGTAACAGTCAGATCGAGCTGTAGAGCGACGACAGCCTAACAAGAGATGGAATCAGAATTCTGCCTCTTTTTATCTGCCAGGGCTCGGCTGTCATGTGAAGTCACACAACACAATACTTTTTTATTCCCATTTATGCAGCAGAAGAAAGGTTATTTGAATGTCAGTGGCAAAGGACAGTCATGGCACGGAACACAGGCAGAATAGTATAAATGTGTTATTTGTTTAGGGATCGGAGGCAGTTGGCATATTACCATAGTGCTGTTCTAATGGCATTTACTGGTCGGCAGCACACACGC